GGTAATCTCATTTACCATTCATAACTCAACTTTCAAACAAATATCCCATCATTAATTGAGAACAAGGGCTTTTATCCTTCATTGAATTCCTACTTTCTCCAGAAATCACTTTAAGTTTTTAATATATATCACTTTTACTTAATTCTTAGACCATATAGTAAAATAAGTATTGGATTCAGATATGAACAATAAAGCAAAGAGGGTGTAGATAATTTGGTGCCTCCAGTAAAATAGACCTAGAGCTGACTCTTACGTTCTTCAGTATTTACAGAGTGGCCTCTGTTTATGATCCATCTTATGGTTCAATTTTGTTTTGTGATGTTTTGTGCTTGATGATAGTAGATGAGATAATTAATTATTGGAACTATTTGAAGAAATAAAAGAAATTAATCTGTCATCCATTTTAAGTCAAATATATATTTGACTTAATATATTTCATACAATGAATTATATTTCTGCCATAGTGTATTTGACTTGAATGTGCTATGAAGTATATATCTATCGATCAATATAAGACATCACAGCCCAATCCATAATAATACCTTCCCATCTGAAAGTCTTGTTAATGCTGATGAATAAATTCTTTTTACCTTAAATAGCATATTAACTGCAAAGCAGTATTAGGATCTTTTGGATATCTGAAAATATTTCATGAAAATCTGGAAAAATACATTATTTTTGTAGTGTCATATTTGGATTTACCTAAACACAATTGGTTTATGAAGTCAGTGACTCAATATGTCAACATCTGCTGGTATCCAGAGTTACTACATATAGTTCTATATTAGGACTAAAATTTAGGGACCTAAGTTTAAGAACAGTTTGAAAAGTTTTGAGCAGTATGCAAAATGATAATTTTAAAGAATATAGTCTCTAAATACTTTGCCCTTGTCCTAGAGGCAGTTGCCAGTTATTTCGCGTACTGACATATTTCATGTCATTAATTTAAATTCACTTTTCTTTGCATTACCTTTGAACCACTCTCTATTCCGTTTTAGTAGACCTTCTACATTATATTTTTTGAGCTTCCTGCCACATGGCTACAGTTCTGCAATATGTTGTTATTTACAATCTCCAATTTTGCCCTTATTCCAAACCATTCGCTCTCCAACTACCATTTCTTTCTCATTTAATGTGAACAAATGTTTTAATGTGAACAAATGTTTCCGTGCACACGTAGCATACACAAAATTATTAACTATTTTCAAAGCATTACAGATGATTAGATTTTGTTCCTTATAAGTCTCCAAAGGAGGATAGAACTATTTTTAAAAATATATGAGTAAAACATTCAAGTCCTTATTTCTAGTTTAGTTTTGTTAGTAGATATTTTGTATATTCATTAACCTCAAACAAATACTTAAGAAGAGAAAGGTCTTTGAACCTTGTGATAATTCTTTAATTTTTCAAAGCCAAGTCACAAGGGACAGTTAAAGTGTTCTGGAAACCGTATAAGCATCAATGAGATACCAACTGCAGACCCTTTGCTGTTTCACCTTGAGCAAGAGCCACACCCACTTGTACATTTGAGGATTGACTGCAGATAGCATTTGTGTTGAAAACATGGATATTTGTAGGCTTCAGACTTCTAAATTGTTAGTTGCACGTTGAAAACACATGATTCACTTGGTCTTAACTCTTTTAAAAACTCATTTTGCCCCACCCAATGCTTTTCTCGCCAAACTGGTTAATGTCTTACAGAATGGTGCCGGGAGGGACCTGTGTGAGCTAGTGTCTTACAGGATGGTGCCGGGAGGGACCTGTGTGAGCATCTTCAGCTTTTCCCCTTGCTGACCAGTCCCTTTCCCTGACAATACTGGATAGGACACCCATTGATAGCAACTATTGCAGGGACAATTTGGAGAAGTCATTTTGGTGGAAATATGTTATATATTGCTGTTCAGGCTCCATTTCACCTCCCTTTTTTTGAGTAGCTATTATTTTTTATTGGATATTTTATTTATTTCCATTGCAGATGTCATCCCTTTTCCCTATTTCCCCTCTCTAGAAACCCCCATCCGACCTCCTACTCCTTTTTGCTTTTATACCATTTTAATTACATGCATGTATTAAGATCAGTTCTAGGTTGAGGATCTGTCAATACAATAGATACAAATAGTCAAAGAACAAGAAAGGCAATAAACACAATTACATGAACACTCCCGTGATCCTTGTTTCTAAGGGCTTATCAGGATGGCTAAAGTATCTGAGCCTACTTCCCTGTCCTAGCCCAAAGTCATTTTCATGTCTGAAGCTTACTTCCTTGTTGTAGCCTAAAATTTAGCTTGCTGCCTGAAATTACTTCTTTGTTCTAGCCTAATGTCAGATTCCTGCCTGAAGCCCACTTCCTTGCCCTTGGCCCAGGTCAGATTCTTACCAAGCAGCCCTAAGGGCTCTCTGATCACAACTAGTGGATTCTGATGGGGGAGGGGAGGCAAGAACTTCCCAGAGTGAAGAGACCTCAGGCTGCAGTGAGCACAGCATGAACTGGCTGGAGGCAGGCAGCATCAGAGAGGCAGCTTATTTTACTGGGGGAAACAAAGAGTATTTAAATCTTTGGGTTGGGGTGATTGGGGGCTATGGGGTGAGTGTACAAAACTGGCTGGTGCCAGAGTACTAGAGATACTTCATGCAAACCCAAGGATATAATCCTACTACTGCTGATCTCAGAATGAGTTTTCCAGAATTTGGACATACTCCTCTCTTGTTCTGGAACTGGCCCCCACCTCCCAGTCCCAAGGCTCCCGAGCCCCACAACACATCTGTCCTTATGGCATAGGTTGTGATGCATTGGCGCTGTGTATGCTGACAACTCTGGAATAGTCATTAGTAATTCATAGGCATAGCGCATGCTATGATATATGACTTAAAACATCTTTAACCTTTCTGTGTTCATTGCTTTTGAACAGAGTTGTTTTCCAAAAGTTTTAATCAAAGTTCCTTATATTTAAAAAAAAAATGAGTTTCTTTAGATGAGTGACTCATAACATGAAAGCTACGAAAATAAAATTTTCATTCTTGAGGAACAAATATTCAGAGAGTAGACAGAGATTTATTTTCGCCCAAATTATTAGCATCCCAGTCATTAAAACTTTTGTGTGTACTTTATATTAACAGGAAAACTGAGGCACTGTAATAAAAAAGTTAATGTAAGGTTAACAAATGCCAATAGGACAAGTAATTGAGATAAGGTGGCTGGCTCCCAAGTCGACGCTAATATCTGTGCTACAAAACTATATTTTAAAAATCTGAACATTTCACTCATGATAAAATCAAGCATTTCAGACAGACTTTTATTTTGGATCTAACAAAATGAGGCCTATTAAAACTTAATTATGTATTACTCAAAATTCTTAGACCTAAGTGTTTTACATTTCATATTTTATATTTATAGTTTTAGGAATATTTGCATATGCTTAATGTGCTATCTTGGGGATGGGACCTAATGCATCATCTCTCTTTTGTACACATAGTATTATGATAATTCTGTATAGTACTCTCTTTATGCTGTGTTCTGATGGTAAACTATCATATTGACTGTGGTACGGAATTTCACCCATTTGGTGTCATGAAATACTCAAATAATTTTGAAGTTTGAAACATTTTAAATTTGCAATTTCATATTAATGATGCTCAACCAACCTGTAATACATTCTTCAGTAAATATCTTTACTTTGAAAATTACTCTTTTAGATATTTTATTGTTTTATACTCCATATCTGAAAAGTTTGAAAATGTACTTTAATCATTAGGGCTGAAGAGAAGTGAAGAAATTTAAAATAAAGATCCAATTTGTAGCAGATTGATAGATTCAAGGGCGATGAATCTGAAAACATTGTGATCGATATTTCTGATTTTTTTCACGTAAATCTGGGCAAACATTAAAAAAGAGAGAGAGAGAGAATCACAAGAGACCAGTTTGACAAAGTGGTTTAAAGTTTTAGTGTCCTAAATACACAGTGAACATCTTTTGCAGGACCCCACATTGTCTAGAGGTATAGGAAACAGTTACTTGGGTACTTCAAAAGTGTCCAGTGCTCTCTATTAGGTGAGTTGGTTGGACAAAGTAATTATGCTGAGCTTTACCAATTCATTGGATGTCTAGTTGTTTATTCTATTTTATTTTAATTTTTACTTGATGAGGTTGCCTATGCTCCCTTGAAGGTAGAGTCTGAAAGATCAAGGGCTCAAGGCCATCCATTTTGAGGTCAGGCTAAGTAACCTAAGGCCTTGTCACAAAAAACAAAGCAAAGCAAAACCAAACCAAAAAGCACCAATAACAATACCATAGAGTGTTTAGAATGACATAAAGAGAATACAGTTTTAGGTATCGAGTCATCGAAATTGTGATTTAGATAGTACTTCAACTTGATTATCAGTATTGAAGTATTAGACAATAAAGTGTAAAGAGTTTTTTCTAATAAAAACATAAATATTGAATCAATGAGCTTATAGAAATATTTTAAATCTTGTACTCAATATTTAGAATTTCAAAACTCTTATTTTTAAAAGCAATCTACACAAATGGTGATAAGTGAAAATAGTTATTCTAATACTAAGTAAATATTTTATTTGGGGAAAATATTTGTACAAATCAAGCCCCCTAAATCTGGATTTGCATATTAACAGTAGAATATTGAAATTAATTTGTCCAATAGAGACAGAATTATTTCACACAAGCTTGAGGCTGGGATATAAACTGGTAATAAATTCAAAATTGATGCCGTTCAGATTGCTTATTCATTTTGTTCATGATGTCTCTGCTCATCAAAATGAAAAAGAGGGAAATATGTTTTAGATACAAAATACAAAAATTACTCAAGAAACTAACATGTGAGTCTCTTCATTACTTAACCTAACCTTTCTTTCTTTCTTCCTTTTTGTTTCTTTTGTTCTGTTTTACAGGTGTCTGACTTGGGATATCAGTGTTTATTTTTGAGGAATTTTTCTTTCTTTTTTTTGTGTTTGGTTTTTAATCATTGATATTGGAAATCAGAAGAGGAGCCAAAAGTATATTGATTTGGTTTCACTTCAGAACAGCCATTTCTGAGACATTCTCCTTCAAGAACACAGCCATGTGGCTACCACAGCTGCTCATCCTCACGGTGCTTTTAGCATCTGTAGTTCATGGTAAGTTCTGTTGACTTCTCATGGTTAGTTAGTATGTTAGTCACGTTTACTCATAACAGATCCTTTGTTTGAAACCTTCTCCTTGAGATGGTGTAGCTTTTTTTTACCTAATGTTGCTATCAGTAAGGACCAAAATATATACTCTGAGCTATACATTTACAAGCTTTCCAGTAGGAGTTCTTAAAGACCCCACTGAAATATGAAAACAACCTAAAAGATTTGTCTACTTTTCTTTTTCATTTTAAATAGAGCCCCTGAATATTTTATGCTTTGATTTACCAAGATACAGAAAAACTCACCTGGGATCATTAATAACACAATTAGTATATATTTAGTTTGCATTTTTCATACTTAAGAGATTATTATGGAGGAAAATCAGCATCTGAGGGAGAGCAGAATTTGCTTTCCCATCAGAAGCGAGCCTTTCTTTTTGATTGGTATTTATTACTGTGTACAAACTTTAATACAAAAAATGCAAACTGTGATCTCTCTAGAAACATGTCGTTCTCATTACACACATACCTTCTTAAATATAAAGCGAATAACATGCCAACTTTCACAAAAAGGTAATTTTACAGAAAGTATTGATTAAACTCATAGTGGATTATATTCCATTGTTCCTGTAGTATTGCTGGTAGTTGCCTCACTATGAGAATTAAGAAAATATGTACATTTAAAAAAAATTATTCTAGATTAAGTATTTGTTCAACATGGGAAGGTAACCTATATTTTGTCCAACTTACAATTTAATATTTGTTGAGTTTCACTAGATGCTAAACTAAAATTTGAAGTTTCACATAGGTTCCCTTTTACAGTTTAAAGTTTTCTCCTAACATGGGTTTTATATTAAAATGAAAGTGTTAATCTCTCTATAGTCTCATGGTTCTTACAGCAAAGGGAAAGGACACAGCTTTGTGTGTCACTGCTTAGGGGGTATCTGAACACTACAGCGTAGTGAGCCCCTGAAAAGAATTAGCTACTTGGGGTTTTTAACTAGCCCATTGCAATCCATTGTAACTACAATGTCTCTGAGTCTAGCCCGTGTTCCTAAACTGGAGCATGCATTCATTGCGTAAATAGCATGCATTCTCTGTGTAAATAGGATAAATAACTTCTGTGTTTTTTCAAATGTTCCTCTAAAGTTAATGCATTTGGTATACTCAGCTCTAACAAGTCTTTAAAAGGCAGAAATAGCTTTTAACTTGCAAGTAAAATCTTCAGAGAAACACTTTGTTTTAAAGAAGGAGATTTATCAATCACTTCTTAGTGCTTTCTTAATCCAGGTATTGATGCAGCTCTTATAGTCTTAACATTTGGTGATAAATATTAAGATTTAAAATTATCCACACATATAAAGTCATTTAGCTTATACCTTTTACTTAAAACTCAAAAATACTTCTTATATTATTTTGAGGATTAAATAAACAACGTATATAAAGTAGCCAACCTCCGCAGAACAAATGTTTATACATTAATTCCCTTTAACATCATGTCTAACCCACAATTTTATTTTTGCTTTAGCAATTATATTAGTGTGGAATTAGCTGATCATGAGAGGTGATTAATTTAATATTGGTATTCAGAAAAATTATAATTGTACATATATTAATATACACAAATTCATATTCAAAAAGACACTGTAAAATTACTGGGTTAGAGGTTGGTTAAAATAGCAGAAATAGTGATATAATGGATGTCATCATTTAATAATTAATATTTTTAATTTTTTTAAAACATATACCTCCTACGTACTAGTTATCCTTATACATGGACAAGCCATTGGTTGAGTCTTTGTTTTGGGGCCTATTATATGAGTGAGTACTTAGGCAAACAAACACACATACAGTGAGAAAGAGAGACAGAGAGACAGAGAGACAGAGAGAGAGAGAGACAGACAGACAGACAGACAGACAGACAGACAGACAGAGAAGAGATAGGCAGAGAAAGACAGAGAAAGGATATCAGAAACTCTCTGAGTAATAAACATCTTTAAACATTGTTAGTTAACTTACTTAATGTTTGTAAGAACAACAAAATTTATCTTGTCTTATATTTAGACTACCTAAATCACCTTAATGTTGGTTATCCATAGCAGCCCAAGTAATATTGAGGTATTCCAAGGATAATCTTATGTGATGCCCTTCCTAACTTTGCAGAAAAGAAATAGCTTTAATGATCAGCTTTGATGTCCAGATTGTTCACAGATAGAGAGATAAACCAATTATTAGAGCTCAAATGTAACAGAACAGAAATTATTAGTGTTCCTGCCAACCCAGGCTCAACAAATAATTTGAACCATCAAATGGTAGAACTAAAATGTCTGTTACTTAGTAAAATCTATTTTTCTCCCCCAAACATGTTCATTCATGGTACCTCCTCTTTACCCTTCTGATGTCCAGTGAAATTGCCTTTTAGAAAAATGGAATCCACTTTTCTCAATAGTAACTTGATTGGAAGTCCCGTCTTCAGAGCAAATAATCAGTTGTAATGCCTACTGTTTCTATGACCACAAACATAAGATTATTTGGTTCTGGTCTTCCTCACAGCACTTCCATGGCTTTGTTACCATAACCTGTTATTATCATTGTCATTTGATATAAATTTTATGGAAGTGCTGAGTGGCAAATTACCTCTACTGGTATGAACCTCCACAAGGAAATTCTGAACAAGGATCTTCTTCATTGGCGCAGGTCCTGCTGCCAGCTGCACCCAGTTTCAATCAAGGAACTCCTCATAACATGTGATATCTTGGAAATGTGAGAGCAAGTGAGGCTGACATTTCACTCACCTGGCTGTCTATATTCTGAGAGCTGAGTGATTAGGTTTCTAAAGTCAGTAATAAATATTGAAAAAAATCAGCTCTGCCACTTACTAGCTCTGTTACCCTTCTCAGCAAACTAGTTGATATCAATTATCACATAAAGACTGTGCTCAGTGCTAAAGATACAGAGATAGAGATGTACAGATTTGTATGTCTGCCATTCAGCAGCTTTAAAGAATCTTAAAAATCTGTAAACCTAGCTTTCATCTAGAAGATGAAAATTCTTGCAGGATTATATTTAGGAGCAGATAAATAGTAAACGCATACCTCCCAGTGTAGTGGTAGGCATTTCATAAATCTTCTATCATTTTTCTATGTCTTATTTACCTTGAAGTCAGTCTAAACTTATAAGCAGTAAGCAAGCATTGTGCACAATTATCCTTGCCATTTACCTGAGTCTTGGGAAAACAATCAAACAACAAACAAAAAACTTACTGACTTGAACCTTGTGATTCAAGGTTTGTATGAAATTCTAAAATATTTACATACACACAAAACTATTATATTACTGTTATTATCTAGATAAAAATATTACCAATGTGTAGAGATACATATATCACTTCTTGAATTAGTGACAAGTAATTGTCAATGGGTCATTTTTGTGTGATCTATACGTAGATAAAATTAGGAACTAAGATAAAAAACTATTCCTTAATACTATTGATCTTAGTTGACTATTCTTCCCATGCTTCACATTGTCTGGCCAATGTTTTTACAGGGAGACAAAAATAATCAGTGCATACACATTGTACATGTTTTTATATATGCAACTGCAAATAGTAACTGTCGCTGGTTATATGTTATCTGTCCACAGTCTGTGTCTCTGTGCACCTCTGTATTTCTCCTTTTCTGTTTTCCATGATTGTCCCCTTCCTCAAGAGCCATCAGACTTATATCTGTCCTAGTGCAAGACTGAAAGAAGTTGAAAAGTGATGTAAAATTTTTGGCTTTTCAAGGATTGCATCAAAATAAGTCTATTTTGTGTCATTTTCTAGATGTAGTCCAGAGAAAGGAAAGTTGGAGAATCAAAACTAGCAGTAATGTGGGTGGCTTGGGCTTTTTCAGAGTGAGAATGAACCAGGGCATTGAGCACACTGATCATACCTCTAGGTCTTCAGTGATCTGGACAGGCATAGTAATGTTCATCTCATAAATCTTCCATCATTTTCCTATGCCTTATTTTTCGTGAAGTCAATGAAGTACACACCAGGTCCTCAGCACTTTACAGTGTGCTTTGAGACAGAGTATGAATTGCACAGGAATTTGCAATCCCTTTGCCACAGCTTTTCCAGTAATGTAGATTACAGGATTGTACCGCTACCCCTAGCTCCTGGAATTCCTTCTGATTGACAGTTAGAGCACATCAAAGTCTAATGGGAGACCTTAAAGTGGCTATCGTGTCCTGGTCTGTAACTACTTTCAAGTGCCAATGGTTTGAGGTTTCAAAAGGGGACCTTGGTGTTAAGATATTTTAGCTACTCGCCAATTTATTCAGACTTTCCTTATAATTATACTGACTCACCACCAAGAAGATGGAAAATGTGATCAATCAGCCTAGCATGATGAATGGGAAATTGTTTTTATAGGATCTTCGAAGAGAGAAAAAAAGATTTAAAACTTTAGATGCATCTTATGCATATTTTTATCCTGCAAATCTATTTATTGTTGATTAACATAAAATCTCGAGCTATATATTTATGGATTTTGTGGGCTAATGTGTTACATTATGCCTAAGTTACTTATAATGAACAGTGCTTAATAAGAACAAAATAGTGATCCACTGTGTATATAGTCACTTAAATTTTATATCTTTTTTATATAAAAATAAATTCTATAGGTGTATGCTACTTAATATTATAGTGCTTCTATTAATTTATACATTTTAAAATTACTATAATAGTACAAATTTGACATGCCCAAATTACATTTTACTATATACTTTGCTTTGCATTTTTTCTATGAAGATATGTCTTATTTTGTGAAGGTGTCAGGTTGACTTCTGAGCTCTACTTCACTTTGCTATTTTTAGAAGCTAGTAGTCCTTGAAATATTTATATTGCCAGCCCAGGTGATTTGTAAGAGTAGCAAAAGTACTTTATAGTCAAATCCATTGTACACAAAAGTGTATGTAATGATATTGGTATGTGAGGGCAATGCTAATGCATCCAATATAATCCAT